TCTCCAGGGAATCTTCTCAACCCATGATCTTCTCAATTCATGTTGCTGGATCCAGTGAACTTTCAGTCCGCATTTACCCTTTCAGTTGACTGCCTCCACCTTAAAGACTGGTAGGCAGTCTTGACGTTATCCTGTCTTGGTTTTCCACCAGCCTGTCTACTCTTCCGTCCCCTTTTCGAGCTGCCCCAGTACTGGCCAGGTTCTGAATGTTGTAGTTGCTTTATCTCACACTCTACTTTCACCCTAAGCAACCTCATTCATTCCCATAACTTTTAGACACCACTCTGTATACAACTTTCAAATTGGTATTTTTTCATTCCATACATGTAGAACTGCCTGCCTTGGAAACTGGTATTTCCAAAACCTGTGCTCCCCAGCTCACTTTTTCTCCTAGAGAACTTTCATGCATCTAGCCATATTTTTTTTTAAACTAGAAACCCTTTCTTTTCCTCTCTTTCAGACCATCATGATGTCTTGCCAAACTTCATCTAAACTCTGTCCCCTAGGCCATCATCTCACTTGGACAATTGTGTCCTTGCAAAAACTATAAATGTCACCTCTTCAGAGAATCTTTCCTAGTTCCCACAGTTAAAAATCAAGTTAAAAAAAATAAAAATCAAGTGTATGTTATGTCTCCTCTTCTGTCGGTTTGACCATTTAACTTTCTCTTCATGACACATCACAATTTGTATCTTATATAATTAGTCTGATGTTCCACTGGTAGACAGTAAGCATTACAAAGGTGTTGTTATCATTTCAATCACTCATTCATGTCCAACTCTTTGCAACCCCATGGACTGTAACCTGTCAGGCTCCTCTGTCCATGGAATTCTCCAAGCAACAATACTGGAGTAGGTTGCCTTTTCCTCCTCCAGGGGATCTTCCTGACCCAGGGATCAAACCTGCGATTCCTGCATTGGCAGGCGGATTCTATACCATCTGAGTCACCAGGGAATCCCACCAAAGAAGGCAGTTGCTGTTTTATTCACAATTCTATCCCAAGCACCAAGCACAGTGCCAGGTTAGGTGAACAAATGAATGACCTGTGTATTTTTTTGTCTTCCAAAGAATTATGTTCTATAAATGATAAAGAGTGTCATCTTATTGGCTTACATCCTTTTCAATGTTTTTAAAGTCTACAAAAACATGTTTAGTTTTTCTCTGATTAACAGAATATTTTTCCCCCTAAAAGATTAGTTTTCCTCTTGAGTATGCCTTTTTCCTTTATCAATATTAAGGATATTACTCAACTGGACATTAGAGATCACCATTAAATAGTGAAGTACAGGAAAATGTTCAAAACATACATAGTAGAAATATTTACAGGTCACTATCTGTCCAGACACAAGTGGTTTTTTTTTTTTCTGTCCAGACACAAGTGGTTTTTAATTTCAGCTAAGATTATTTGAGACAACACTGCTGTTTCAAACTACTAGATATTTCAGTAAGGTTGACAAACATATATAATCTGCAAGATAAATTATTACATCTAGAAAAACTGTTTTGTGAACTCTGAAATGAATTCTGTGTGGACTAAAAAAAACCAGTTTTAAAAGGATGATGTGAAATGTGAAATGCTTCTTTAGCTACTAGTGATTTTTAACAGAACAGAACAGAAATGCAAAAATGCAGGAAGATAAAGTATTCTAAAGCAAAATCTCCAGCTGGAAATCCAACATACAAAAGCAATACACCAGAAATCATGGGAAATACGGATGAAATGGGCACTGTTTTTTGGGTTTTGATCACTTGTTAAAGAAATATGTTAGAATTAAAATGTTTTGGTGACATTTAAATACCCTTAGACAAAACTCTGATTTTTGACAAGAATAGAGTGTAATATGAAAGAAATCTTGAATTTGAATTTTGGAAAGTTTCTTCTCTCTAAAGCAACTTTTTTTGAATGTGTATCATCAAAAGATGCAATCTACATTGATTCATAAACAGTAAAAAATAAGCGATCATCTTCCTTAATTTTGTTAGGTTTTCCTAATGACGTTTGGGGACAATGGCAGCCTGGAAAGAGTCCTCCCTTCTCAAACCTTGCCCTGGGCACCTCTCCCAGGTGGCTGTTCTTGAGTTGTATCTTTTGTAAAGAGCCAGCAATCTAGACTTCAAGCTGGGGAGGCAGCATCTCAAGTGACCCTGAGAGAACTGCTGCAAGGAAGCAAAAGAGGAGCTGGATTATATAGAAGTTTTGCAACAAAGGGCAGAACCAGATACCCCAAGTTTTTCTGTAGGTAAGGAGCAGTGGCTGCGCTTTGCTGGAGGAGTGAAGAGATACCCCACGTCCGAGGTAAGAGAAACCCAAGTAAGACAGTAGGTGTTGCGAGAGGGCATCAGAGGGCAGACACACTGAAACCATAATCACAGAAACTAGCCAATCTGATCACAGGGCCACAGCCTTGTCTAACTCAATGAAACTAAGCCATGCCATGTGGGGCCACCCAGGACGGTCGGGTCATGGTGGAGAGGCCTGACAGAATGTGGTCCACTGGAGAAGGGAATGGCAAACCACTTCAGTATTCTTGCCTTGAGAACCCCATGAACAGTATGAGAAGGCAAAAGATAGGACACTGAAAGAGGAACTCCCCAGGTCAGTAGGTGCCCAATATGCTACTGGAGATCAGTGGAGAAATAACTCCAGAAAGAATGAAGGGATGGAGCCAAAACAAAAACAAAACCAGGCTGTGGATGTGACTGGTGATAGAAGCAAGGTCTGCTGCTGTAAAGAGCAATATTGCATAGGGACCTGGAATGTTAGGTCCATGAATCAAGGCAAATTGGAAGTGGTTAAACAGGAGATGGCAAGAGTGAATGTCGACATTCTAGGAATCAGCGAACTAAAATGGACTGGAAAAGGTGAATTTAACTCAGATGACCATTATATCTACTACTGTGGGCAGGAATCCCTTAGAAGAAATGGAGTAGCCATCATAGT